TTTTTTGGAATAATTGTTACACTTTATTTATTTATGGTGATTTTTTGCAGCTGGTATATCACAATAAGCGATTTATATATAATTTTTTCTTTCCATAGGCGCTATTATATATATTTTCTTTAGTTTGCATATGTGCCTCCCACTTGTTAAGGGACCAAAATAATGGGACAGAATAATAATCATAAATCAAACTTTCACTTTTTAATACTTGGTTGCAAATTCTTTGCAGTCAATTACAGCCTGAAGTCTGGAACGCATAGACATCACCAAATGCTAGGTTTCATCCCTGGTGATGCTCTGCCAGGCCTCTACTGCAACTGTCTTCAGTTCCTGCTTGTTCTTGGGGCATTTTCCCTTTAGTTTTGTCTTCAGCAAGTGAAATGCATGCTCAATCGGATTCAGGTCAGGTGACTGACTTGGCCATTGCATAACATTCCACTTCTTTCCCTTAAAAAACTCTTTGGTTGCTTTTACAGTATGCTTTGGGTCATTGTCCATCTGCACTGTGAAGCGGCGTCCAATGAGTTCTGAAGCATTTGGCTGAATATGAGCAGATAATATTGCCCGAAACACTTCAGAATTCATCCTGCTGCTTTTGTCAGCAGTCACATCATCAATAAAAACAAGAGAACTAGTTCCTTTTGGCAGCCATACATGCCCACGCCATGACACTACCACCACCATGCTTCACTGATGAAGTGGTATGCTTAGGATCATGAGCAGTTCCTTTCCTTCTCCATACTCTTCTCTTCCCATCACTCTGGTACAAGTTGATCTTGGTCTCATCTGTCCATAGAATGTTGTTCCAGAACTGTGAAGGCTTTTTTAGATGTCGTTTGGCAAACTCTAATCTGACCTTCCTGTTTTTGAGGCTCACCAATGGTTTACATCTTGTGGTGAACCCTCTGTATTCACTCTGGTGAAGTCTTCTGTTGATTGTTGACTTTGACACACATACACCTACCTCCTGGAGAGTGTTCTTGATCTGGCCAACTGTTGTGAAGGGTGTTTTCTTCACCAGGGAAAGAATTCTTCGGTCATCCACCACAGTTGTTTTCTGTGGTCTTCCAGGTCTTTGGGTGTTGCTGAGCTCACCGGTGCGTTCCTTCTTTTTAAGAATGTTTTGGCCACGCCTAATGTTTTTGTTATCTCTCTGATGGGTTTGTTTTGTTTTTTCAGCCTAATGATGGCTTGCTTCACTGATAGTGACAGCGCTTTGGATCTCATCTTGAGAGTTGACAGCAACAGATTCCAAATGCAAATAGCACACTTGAAATGCACTCTGGACCTTTTATTTGCTCATTGTAATTGGGATAATGAGGGAATAACACACACCTGGCCATGGAACAGCTGAGAAGCCAATTGTCCCATTACTTTTGGTCCCTTAACAAGTGGGAGGAACATATGCAAACTGTTGTAATTCCTACACCGTTCACCTGATTTGGATGTAAATACCCTCAAATTAAAGCTGACAATCTGCAGTTAAAGCACATCTTGTTCGTTTCATTTCAAATCCATTGTGATGGTGTATAGAGCCAAAAATGTTAGAATTGTGTCGATGTCCCAATATTTATGGACCTGACTGTATATAACAGGAGATGCTAAGCACTATACTATTGACAATATAGCCCCATTAATAACTAGTTTTAAAAGAAAAAGTGGGGTGTGGCCCAGACTTCCATTATCTGTGACAGGACGCTGCAATCTAATTAACACCCTCCCGTCCATCCTATAGCAGATTGACGGCCGTTCAGGACACTTGCCGTTGTGACTGGGCGTCTTATGACGTCCTGTCAAAATGTGCAGGGTCGCGCAGCGGCGCGATCTGTCACCGGCTGTGTCCCGTGGATGACATATCATTACACCGGCCCATTGCGAGTGTCATGTGAACACTGTGACTAATCACAGAATATCACATGTCAATTGTATACAATGGATGACTTCATGCCATTCATAGTATACAATTGTGTTATTAGCTGTGAATGGTCAAAGCAGTCACATAGTACAGACAGGGCCAATCACAGCCCATCTGTATCATGTGATGAGCTTTGCCCAATCACAGCTAATCACAACAAAAGACTGAATGAATCAGTTTCATTCAGTAACAATGATTGCAAATATCAATGAAATACATTGGTATTAGCAATCACAATGTGTAAAAAAAAAAAAATCCTGATCACTTGCCCAGAGTAGTTCAATGTTATTATGGTAACTGTGGGAACTCGCTTCAGAGTGGTAGAGCTTTTAAACACACACAGCTACTCGCTTTCTTTTTTAAGGATTTTTTTTGCCCACTTTTATTTAAATAAAAGTTCAAAACAGAAGTTTCCCACACAGGGGTATTGATCATCCACATAAACAAAATTCAGCCTCCTGGCTCTCTCAGATATACAATCTTCCACTGGCCTTCCTCTTCAGACTTACGTCTGACTCCTGCAGACCCTTTCAAAAACCATGGCTCTTGCACACAGCTGGCCACTAGCACATAGCTACTACCAAGCAGCTCCTTGCCGCTTTTGGCTTCCACCTCTCCTTGGTGGAGCCCTCCTGACTCCTATCTGCCGGGGTGGAGCCCTCCTGACTCCTATCTGCCGGGGTGGAGCCCAGAACTCTGATCCTGACTCTCTGAAAAGGCCTGCACACACCTGTGCAATCAGTCTCCTGGCCATTCCCAAAACCTGGTCCCAGGATTGGAGATTTCATCCCTCCCAGATCTCTTTGAAATCTCCAGGCTCCAGATCCCAAAACAGACCTTACAAACAAAGGAGGAAAGTGAAAAGCCACTTTCCTCCATATCAAACACTTACCCTGGAGCCCCTCAACCTGCCTAGTTGAGAATCCTGGGTGACAGATCGTCACACTGTCACATAACATTGTATTGCTTTGGTCACAGTGTGCTGAAAAATTAAATAGTAAAAAAAAGAAAAAATTGAATAAAAAAAACAATAGAAACATTTGAAAAAAAAAATACAAATTCAATTATTATTACTACTTTCACCAAAGAAATGTAGCAGAATACATTTTGACCTATATTTATGAAGAAATTTTATTTATTTGCAAAATTTAATAACAGAAACAAAAAAAAGTGCGTTTTCTTTTTCTAAAGTTTTAGGTGTTTTTTGTTTTATTTAGCAAAAAAATAAAAAACTCAGTGGTGATTAAATACCACCAAAAGAAAGCTCTATTTGTGTGAAAACAATTATAAAAATGTCATATGGGTACAGTGTTGCATGACCGCGCAATTGTCATTCAAAATGCAACAGCACTGAAAGCTGAAAATTGGCCCAGGCAGGAAGGGGGTATAAGTGCCCGGTATTGAAGTGGTTAAGATGATCTGGTTGCCACAATTTTTGTATGTATTACATAACTCCTCGATATGGATCCATAAACAGTGGTTTCAGAGATTGGATACTATTTTTAGAGAACTAATTTATAGAAAGGGGGTGTCGAGGATACGCTAACATACATTACAATTGCTTAAGGATATTGGGGGATTAGCTTAGCCTTACTCCTGGAGTTAGTTTCTAGCTTCACAGTTACAGCACTTAATGAATAGTGGATTAACAGAAGGTAGGGGTGCATGCAGAGATATGGTGATGACCTGTATTGGGCACAATACAATGATGGAGGCTTTAGAGGCGGAATCTTTCATTTTGAAGTATCCTACGCTGATATTATTAGTAAAATTGTGTCAGGTAGTTAAGGCACTACTGGGGTATCTGTGATTCACAGAATTCTCCCCAATTTAGTATAATAAGAATCTGCTGGAGCTGTTCAGTATAGGAAGAATGAAGGAATGGGAAAACTGTGGGACAGTACATCTGGACTAGTTGTATAAGTCTGATTCACTGAATACATTTTAAGAATTAAAAGAGGAGTTTGCCATCTAGCATCAATCTAAAGTGGAGTGGGATACCCCTGTTATGTAAGGAAATATTTGCATCATCTTCTAAGGGAATGATATCTGATGTTTATGCTGCGATACCTACTGGAAATGGAAATCTCTTGTGTAAAAGTAGATGGGTGGAGAACATAGGGAGTATTACAGAATAGGAGTGGAAATATATATTGGAAGCAGTACCATTGGTGTCCATGTCCCCCTTGCAGAGGATTTCACATTTATTTTTATTACATAGAATTTACAGTACCACAAAAGATTGTTTACATTTGGAAGACGTCCAGATGCTGCATGCCTGCGATGTGGGGATCCGACTGGTGACCTTATCCATATGGTCTGGAGATGCCCCAAACTGAATAGGTATTGGTTAAATATTCTTGGTAGCATAAATTCTGTGTTTGGGGTGTCTTTGGGACTGGATCCCAAGTTATGTATATTGGACTATATGGATGGGGGGACCTTGTAACATAATACACAAATCGCAGTGCTTAGGTGTTTATTTCAGGCTCGGATGGTTGGCATCAGACCCTTCAACAAGTATAGAATGGGATAAAACAGTAAAAAATACTATAAGAAGTGAAAGGTTTGTCTACACGAAAAGTAGGTGTCTTAAGAAATTTGAGAAAATATAGGGACCTTGGGTGGAGACTATGGGACTGACCTCTAATGAGAGGGTGGTGAATAGAGTGTTAGAATAATTTTAAAATGTGGAAATAAATAAATGTACATTATGTTTATATTTGGGAAAATGGCTTAATTGGTGTTAATGATATGGTTCAGAGAGTGATACACCAATGTATACGTGGGAAGGGGGGAGAGGGGTACATTATGCTGTTATTTGTATATATGGAATATATGTATGTAGATGGAAATAAAAAATATTTGATGCAAAAAAGAAGTCACTCATGCAGATATAGAAGAACAGGGCAGCACATAGAAATGGCACTTAGTGCTCTGGATAGAGATAAGTACACACTATAGAGGGGAATGATTTGTTCATATTTTATGTCTATGGTTTACAACCACTAACAATCATAAAAATATACTGAATCTATAAAATGATTTACTTAAAACATTTGAAATAAACATTTTTAACATTATTTTTTTTAATGTTTTTTTGCTTCTCCCCAGGTCCAGCTGGGAACTTCCTGATCTGAGAGAAGGAAGGGTAAAAGCCATCAGTGACTCAGATGGCGTAAGCTATCCTTGGTATGGAAACACCACTGAAACTGTGACCTTAATAGGTCCTACCAACAAAATTTCCAGGTTCTCCGTCAGCATGAATGACAACTTTTACCCAAGTGTGACGTGGGCAGTGCCTGTCAGTGAAAGTAATGTGCCCTTACTCACAAGAATCAAAAGAGACCAAAGTTTTACAACATGGTTGGTAGCAATGAACATGAACACCAAGGAAAAGATAATTTTACAGACAATAAAATGGAGGATGAGGGTAGATATAGAGGTGGATCCTTCTCAGGTTTTGGGTAAACGGGCCAGATTGGTGGGAAGGACTCAGCAGGAGCAGCCAAGAATTTTAAGCCGCATGGAGCCAATCCCAACCAATGCACTGGTAAAACCTAATGCTAATGATGCACAGGTGCTAATGTGGAGACCGAAAAGGGGACAGCCTGTAATTGTTATTCCTCCTAAATAGGACTGACTATGGTTTGATGAAAGAGTGCTCCAAATGAAGATGTTTTAAAGCTGTTCAAAGCTTTGAAGACAATGCATGGGGTCAAAGAGACTAAAAACTTTTAGCAGTATTATTTAATGTGCGCATTTTTTGAAAGTGAACAAAAGTTTTATACAGTCTATTTATTTAAATATTACTGTTCCTAGTGCCTGTGGCCAAAAAAAAATCATAAAAAAAGATTGGTACGGCAGGAGCATCATTGTGTTGGTCAAACCTTTAATCTCCTTTATCACATTTGTTTGAATTTCCAAAAATAAATATTTCAGTTCCATGTATTTTCAAGAGAATCACAAAGAAACAGATTTAGAGTGCTCCCATACAATAAAGAGAATTTGTTAAAAAGCAACAGATCATCTATCTCAGAAGCCTTTGGTGGAAGCAGCCATTTTCCACTTCACAAACCACATGCATAAGGCCCCTTTCAGATGGGGCAAGCTCCATCAAGCGGATCCGCCTGCTGATCGGGGGATCTCTCCACTGATTCCCGCTGAGCAGTCGGATGACAGATCCATGTCCACTCCGCTATGCAGAAAGGACACAGACACAGCCCGCTGTCTTTTTATGGAGCGGTCAGATGGAAACGGAGCGTCTGTCTATTTTCACCCGACTGTCATCCAATGGGGAACGGATCCCCATCTGTCTGTTTTTAGCGTACAGGATCAGATTGGATGCCGGAAGGTGTCAGCGGACACATGTTCACTAACACCTGCTGCTCCATAGAGAGCTATGGATGTTCCAATCGGGTCTGCTTGAAAACCTGACCGGTGGATCCGATCGGACCATAAGTGTGAAAGGGGCCTAAGTTACAGGGAAATAAAGTAGAACCTTCTCAGCTTTACTGGAAATGAAGGAACTGCCTTGAAGCAGTTGGCAACTTCCATCAGAGGCTTCGAGATAGTTATTTTGATTTGTAATAAATTTCCTTTAAATTACCCAGTCAGGACTTTTTGACGTATAAACATGTACACAAAAGTGGGATACTCTATGTATAGAAATAATTTCTGCAGCAAATATGCAATCATACATCACCCTTTCAATTTGTTGATCTAATCATTTATCCATATATCATTGAACTGAAATCCAAGCAGAATAACTTTTTGTAAAGCATACATTCTGCTTTAAAGGTAAATTAATAGGCATTTTTTACAACTTTTTAAATATATTTGAAACATTTGAAGTTATATGGGAAAGCATGAGTGTTTTAATATCTTTGTGGAATGAATTTGTGGATTGATTTCTAAGCGACCGTAATAACATTTTTGTTTCAACTTTCAATAAAGAAACATTACAGTCAAGACTGCGTTATATGCATATTAGATATGCTCATTAAATTGTATTGAAGAATATCTTGTCTTTGGTTGTTAAGCTAAGCATTTTCTGTTATGAACGTTTTCTTTCTGTGTCCCGGGAAAATGTATTAAAATGTACATAACATACCCACTAATCAAGATGTTGCAGCAATGCTGACTTGCCAGTGTCACACTGGGTCTGGTTTAATCACAAATGAATAATCAACATTAAAGCCCAACTGCAGTTTTCAGAAGCCTGATAGGATTAAACTGAGGATGCATTAAAACAGTGAGTTTTGAATGTCTATTTTTAGCTTTCCAAAGTGTTGCCATTCCCAACTGAAACCTCTATGTGTGTTTGAAGGCTGCAGCTAAAAATTCCTGAAACACACCCCTTGTCCCCAACCTTGTTACCACTACAGTACAAGAGTCATCAAAGCTTACACTGCCTACTGATTGCAGCACTGTAGTAGTAAAAAGGTGGCACGAAAGGTGAGAGGTGGAGGACGTAGGAGGTGTTGGAACTCTGCCAGATAAGAGTTTTGAGCTGGGAATGGGGAACTTTAAAAAAACATATTTTCAGAACTTACTGTTTTTCTGCCTTCTCTGTGTTTTAAAATTACAGGTGTCATTTAAAGCAAATATGTCCCTGTAATAAAAAAAGTTACAGAAGTACCTTGCTGTGCACAAAACCAGTATTACTATTTATCTGTGTCGCTGGCTACTATTCCGATGTTCACTGTCTTGCAGAGCTACACCCACTGGTATATTCTTGGCATCCATCACTCCTGGGTGTATGAAACCCCTACTATGTGCTGTGGCTCAACCCAATTACCACTACATCTCTACCATACAGTATATACAGGGGTAGACAAAGGCATCCAAAACACCTAGAAAGATTGGATGCTGAAGATTCTGCTGGACAACAAAGATTTTGCCCCACCAGCAATCTGCCTAATTCCTGCCATGATTTTTTATGGATTTGCCCAATCTGTGCTTTTAGGCTCTCTAAAAAAAATAAGCACAGCTTATAGGCACTACTGCATTACTACTTGTCCTAGCTGTTCTCAGCTACTTATGCGGTATTGCACGAGACGTCTGTAATATGTACAATAAGTGCTCAGACTCTTGGTATCAATCAATGGATGGACGTAGTAATGTGCTAGGATAGTACACAGAACTAGGTTCTGCTCATCTGTAATAAATAGAATACATGGCCAAACTGAATTTCTTTACCAAGGTAAGCTAATGTCCCAAGTGACTATGTTACAGTGCCTTGCAGAAGTATTCACCCCACTTTGTGCTTTTCTTGTTTTGTTGCATTACAGCTTGGAATTAAAGTGGATTTTTGGGCTTTGTATTATGTGATGTACACAACATGCCCACAACTTTGAAGGTGCAAAATATTTTTTATTGTGACACAAACAATAATTAAGATAAAGGAAATCTTGAATGTGCTTAAAGCCAGCCATAGACGATGCGATTTTCTTTCCTGCAGCCTCGGGTTGCAGGAAAGAAACGTTCAATTCCCCTATCAAAACAGTTAGTGTTGATGGGGGAATCCCTCTCACAGTGGTATTGTGTTCTCCTGGCGGGAAGGGGGGGGAGACACAGGGGGAAGCTGTCCCCACCATGAGAACACAGTTAATATTGCAACTATATAGCAACTGGCAATAATCACATAAAAAATCTAACAGACTGTACCCAACAGACTGTACCCAAGTCACACAACAATCAAATTGGGTACAACCAGCCTGCCCATAGGTGGTCCAAATCTCTGCCAGTCCCTGCTGAACCTGCTGAGATTTGAACCATTTATGGGTGGTTTAAGTATGCACCCCTTTGCTATGAAACCCCTAAATAAAATGTGGTCAAACCAATGAATTTCAGAAATACCTAACTGTAATTAGATGATTACGTAAGGCCCATCTGAGTGCAATCACATGATCACATGAATTCAGTATAAATACAATACACCTGATCTGAAAGGCCTGCAATTCTGCGACACCACCAGGCAATCAACAAAGTTGTCAGGGTCAAGTTATAAGACAGAATCACAAACTTTGAACATCTCATGAAGCACCATTAAATCCATTATAACAAAACAGAGAAGAGTAATGTACTACTACAAATCTGACAAGAGAAAGCCATCCACCAAAACTCACAGGTAGGACAAGAATGGCATTAGTCAAAGAAGCAATGAAAACACCAAAGATAACACTGGAGAAGCTACAAAAATCCACAACGGAGATGGGCGTATCTGTTCATAGGACCACTCTAATTGGTAAAATCCACAGATGAGAATGTGGTGGAACAGTGGCAAGAAAAAAAAGCCATTGCTTAAACAAATAAGAATACGTTTGGCTTTTGCCATACAAAATGCGGCAGCCTTCTCAAATACATGAAAGAAGGTTCCCTGGTAAGATTAAACTAAAATTAATATTTTTGGCCATCATGGAAACACAATGTATGGTGCAAAACCCAACACTTCTCACCCTGAGAACACAATCCCCACAGTAAAGCATGGAGGTGCCAGCATCATGCTATGGGATTGCTTTTCATCAGCAGGGACTGGAAAACTGGCTAGGATTAAAGGAATGATGGATCGCACTAAACACTGCAATTTTTTAAGAAAACCTGATTAAATCTGACAGATTTGAGACTGACAAATTTCTTGGAATAGCCTAGTCAGTGCCCAGACCTCAATCCAATTGAAAATCTGTGGCATGACTTGAAGATTACTGTACATCAACGCAACCCATCTAACTTAAAGGAGTTGGAGCAGCTTTGCCTAGAAGGATGGACAAACATATCAGTGGCAAGATGAGTTAAAGTGTTACTAAACCCAAATCAGTCTGTATATGCAGTAAAGCACGCTTGTTATACTCACTGTGGAACCTAAGAGGTTAATCCTCTGCATTGTGTAAAAATGCCGTTTGATCCATTCTTCTCTGTTCTTCCCCTTTTTCAAGTGACCACCTCTTATCTCCAGACTGAACCATGTGCATGCACATGCTCAGTTTGGTGTGTATTGCTAGATAGGTTTTTTTTTTTTTTTTCCCCTTGGAAAAGTGCATGTGATCAGCACAGGGCCAATCAGCACTGTCCAGACAGAGGTCGGGATTTTCATCCTCCTAGAGCAGAAAGAAAACATCCTACAAGCTTTAGCTTGTAGGAGGACACAGATAGAAATCACAAGACTGCTGTAACTGCTAATGAGAAAAGGCATTTAGCAGTTTACATTTACTAAAATAATTGCACTTCCATGTTCTGTGTACTGTGGGAGACCAGATGTAGTGAATGCCGATTCCTGGGTTTAGTAACACTTTAAGCTAATAGAGACATAGTCCAAGAGACCTACAGCTGTAATTTCAGCATATGGAGGCTCTACAAAGCATTGACTTTTTGGGGTGCGGAGGGGGAGTTAATACTTATGCACGATCCCTGATGCAAGATCTCTGTTTTTTTTGGGGGGGGTTGTCTTTATTGTTTTTGTCACAATAAAACATCCCTTATATTGTGAAGCGCTGCGTAAACTGTTGGCACTATATAAATCCTGTATGATATTAATAATAATATTTTGCACCTTCATAGTCATATGGTACCAAAAAGTCCATTTTAATTCCAGGTTGTAATGCTACAAAATAGTAAAAACACCAAGGGAGGGTGAATATGTTTGCAAGACACTGTACACATCAAAATATTTAGGCTTATTACCCTGACACAGAATGTGAATTGCAAATGTACACAACAAGAAACACAGTCTAATAGTTACATAAAGGTGACCCATGCAATGACAATGTAACATTTAGCTTGGAAAGATTTTCAATTTTAAACTGAAATTGTATATCAAACAGAATGCCACATATCTGGCATAGTTGCTTCCTTATCCAAAATCAATGATAAAATGTTGGAATATTTATAGATAAAACCTCAAATTACATACACTATATTGCCAAAAGTATTGGTTTGCCTGCCTTTACACACACATGAACTTTAATGGCATCCCAGTCTTAGTCCGTAGGGTTCAGTATTGAGTTGGCCCACCCTTTGCAGCTATAAAAGCTTCAACTCTTCTGGGAAGGCTGTCCACAAGGTTTAGGAGTGTGTCTATGGGAATGTTAGACCATTCTTCCAGAAGCGCATTTGTGACGTCAGGCACTGATGTTGGACGAGAAGGCCTGGCGCACAGTCTCTGAGTGTTTTATTAGGTTGAGGTCAGGACTTTGTGCAGGCCAGTCAAGTTCCTCCACCCCAAACTCCCTCATCAATGTCTTTATGGACCTTGCTTTGTGCACTGTTGTGCAGTCATGTTGGAACAGGAAGGGGCCATCACCAAACTGTTCCCACAAAGTTGGGAGCATGAAAATGTCCAAAATGTCTTGGTATGTTGACACTTTAAGAGTTCCCTTTAAAAACAGCTCCACACCATAATCCCCCCCTCCACCTTTAAACTTGGCACAATGCAGTCAGGCAAGTACCATTCTCCTGGCAACCGCCAAACCCAGACACGTGCATTGGATTGCTAGACAGAGAATTGTGATTCATCACTCCAGAGAACACATCTCCATTGCTCTAGAGTCCAGTGGCGGCATGCATTACACCACTGCATTCGACACTTTGCATTGCACTTGGTGATGTAAGGCTTGGATGCAGCTGCTCGGCCATGGAAACCCATTCCACGAAGCTCTCTGCGCATTATTGTTGTGCTAATCTAAAGGCCACATGAAGTTTGGAGGTGTTTAGTTATTGACTCTGCAGACAGTTGGCGACTTCTGCGCATTGTGCGCTTCAGCATGTGCTGACCCCGCTCTGTCATTTTACATGGCCTACCACTTCGTGGCTGAGTTGCTGTTGTTCCCAGTTGATTCCACTTTGTTATAATACCACTAACAGCTGACTGTGGAATATTTAGTAGGAAGGAAATTTCGCAGATGGACTTATTGCACAGGTGGCAACCTATCACGGTACCACGCTTGAATTCACTGAGCTCCTGAGAGTGACCCATTCATTCACAAATATTTATAGAAGCAGTCTGCATGCCTAGGTGCTTGATTTTATACACCTGTGGCCATGGAGGCGATTGGAACACCTGAATCCAATTATTTGGAGGGGTGTCCCAATACGTTTGGGAATATAGTGTATATATTAAAAAGGAGAATCCTGCACTGTTTTTGGCTGTGTTGAGGTTTTGCAGCCTATTCATTTTGAATGGGCTTTCTAACAGAGCAAGTCTTAATCATAAATGCAGCTGAAAAGCTGGGTTTCTCCTGCAACCTGCTAGGTGGTGTTAGGTGAAGGGACAGAACAGGGCTCCCACATCATTTCCCTAAGTTCCTGCAGATAGAGAAATACACTGTCAATTTAAAGGTCTGTGCATGGTACTAGGTGTGGATATTTACTGATGGGGCCATGAATGATGCCAACATCTAAATAGCTACAAAACTGCATTGATTCCATTACAGAAGGAAGTCCAAGGAAGTGCCTATCAAATGGCACTATTGGCAAGATTAACAGGTATTCAGACAGTACTTAGAAAAACAGAGTGCCCAGGTTTTTCATAGTTGTACTTTAAAGTGGCATTAAACCCAAAACCACAAGTGTAATATATTGCAGCTTACCAATCCTTAGATGTGGTGGCTGCATTCGTTTTTCTTTAGGATTTTTCCCTCTGTTTTTTCCTGGTGATCTGGCCGCTAACACACCCTCAGTATTAGAGTGCTCCCACTCTGGATCAAAAAGCACAGGCAGCACATTTGGACAACAGCATTATCAGCTAGGGGCAGGGTAGTGTTAAATGTACTAGCAGATTTAAATACACTAAGAAATAGAAGCTGAACTCCAGCTAACACTTTAGCGGTTACAGCAACAGTTATTTTCCCTTTGTTGGATAAAGGTTTTACGTAAATTTACTTAATTTTACATAAACTGATCATTTTAAGCTCCCCTTCCAGTTTTGAATGGTTTGTCTCATCCATGTAACATACATCTGCAAAAGAGCTTGTTCCTTTGATAGACAACAGACTTACTGGTTAGATCACCAGAATGAAACTAGAAGAAAGAAAGCCTAAAAAAGAAAACTAATGTAGTCATCATATCTAAGAACTGGTAAGCCGTGATATAATAAATGTTTGCTTTTGGGTTTAAGGCTCCATGCACACTAGCATTTTTCTTAAGCTCAACAAACACTGGGAAAAACGCAGGTAATAGCTTTTTTTAGTAGCATTTAGGAGCATTAGCATTTTATTAGCATTTTTACAGTACATGTAGAGGAAAAAGAGTTATATAAAAAAAAGCTGTTAGGAGCGTTTTCGCAGCGTTTAGCATTTTTTTTTCTGCAAAACTGCAAAAACTCTACAAAAACAATTTACTGCTCCTAGATGCTAAAGCTAAACAAATGCTAATAGCCTAATAGCCACTATTTAGCTTCTAGGCGCAGAAAAAATATGCTGATAATAGTTTCTAGGAGCTTAAAAAGCACTAGTGTGCATGGAGCCTAATACTACTTTAATGGGTTAGATGAGGAGCTCAGTTTAAAATACTTTCTGTCTTTCATGTTTTAGTTGTGATCATTTTGCTATTTAATTACATTGTTCCCACCGTGTGTTATAAGGTGATGTTTGCATGAATTTTGTTTGTCGTTAAAAAAGGCATTTTGGCTTGAATCATTGTACCTCTTTTCTGTAATAAGCATTAACAAAAGGGATACTGCCAAAATTGCAGTGGAGACCAGGACCTTTTCTCTAGCTGATATTTGCTTCAATGGGCCCTAAATGCTTTGATGTGTGATGCTTGTGTATTTAAGATTGGTTCCACCACAGTGTATTCTGACCTTAGGTGAACACTACATCCCCTGATACTTTATGGAATATGGAAGACAGCAACTGGAAGAGATCTCTTAGCTAAAAACTTAAAGGTAAGGTGGATGCTAATAAAATATCCTTGAGATCAATGAAAGCAGACATTTTGGAAAATCTGTCTACCGACATCCAGAACAAAGACTTACTGGATATTAGAGGTATGTAAAGAAGTTCAGGATAACGTGTAATAAGGGGTCATCCTTATTACAGTGTAATAGAAAAAGGAATTTAATTAGCTTGGTTTAAAGAGGTATTACAGATGATAAAAAGTTGATAAATACGTCATATTCAATCCAGGGGGAGTTCACAACTTCTTCCTTGAAGTTCCTGGAGGCGATAGTTCTTGATTCATACTTCTCTTATGAATCTAACTCCAATGACTTTTATCTTCTAAGCAACCATACAGTATATAGCAGTTCAAAAAAACTAGTCAAAACCGATTTGAGCCACACCACAGAATGAAAAAGGTCAATGGTTCCCAACTTCCCACATGATACTGAAACCATATGTCTCAGCTCAGTATATATGAGACCATGTTTCAGCATACATTAGGCATATAGTTTTTATGTACCGTATTTTTCGCTCCATAAGACGCACTTTTTTCCCCCAAAAAATGGGGGGGGGGGAATGTCAGTGCATCTTATGGAGCGAATATGGAGCGGCTGGTCCCAGAAGATGCCGGGCAATTCACAAAGCGCAGCGCTTCTCGCTGTCAGCCGAGTGCCCACACTAAAGGGAGGACAACTCCGTGGAAGTGGGAGCGGGTACCTGTCAAATTCAGGTACCCGCTCCCCCTCCCTCCCCAAAGATCCACAGTCTCTGGTCATCTCCTGTACTGTCTGCAATCTCTTGGTCATCTCCTGTACTGTCTGCAGTCTCTTGGTCATCCGCTGTACTGTCTGCAGTCTCTGGTCATCCCCTGTACCGTGTCCGCAGTGTCTGGTCATCTCCTGTACTGTCTGCAATCTCTTGGTCATCTCCTGTACTGTCTGCAGTCTCTTGGTCATCCGCTGTACTGTCTGCAGTCTCTGGTCATCCCCTGTACCGTGTCCGCAGTGTCTGGTCATCTCCTGTACTGTGTCCGCATTCTCTGGTCATCTCCTGTACTGTGTCCGCAGTCTCTGGTCATCTCCTGTACTGTGTCCGCATTCTCTGGTCATCTCCTGTACCATGTCCGCATTCTCTGGTCATCTCCTGTACTGTGTCTGCAATGTCTGGTCATCTGTACTGTGTCCGCAGTCTCTGGTCATCTCCTGTACTGTGTCCGCAGTCTCTGGTCATCTCCTGTACTGTCTGCCGTCTCTGGTCCATCTCCTGTACTATGTCCGCAGTCTCTGGTCATCTCCTGTACTGTGTCCGCTGTCTCTGGTCATCTCCTGTACTGTGTCCGCTGTCTCTGGTCATCTCCTGTACTGTGTCCGCTGTCTCTGGTCATCTGTACTGTGTCCGCAGTCTCTGGTCATCTCCTGTACTGTGTCCGCTGTCTCTGGTCATCTCCTGTACTGTGTCCGCTGTCTCTGGTCATCTGTACTGTGTCCGCAGTCTCTGATCATCTCTTGTACTATGTCCGCAGTCTCTGGTAATCTCCTGTACTGTGTCCGCAGTCTCTGGTCATCTCCTGTACTGTGTCCACAGTGTCTGGTCATCTCCTGTACTGTGTCCGCAGTCTCTGGTTATGTCTTGTACTGTGTCCGCAGTCTCTGGTCATCTCCTGTACTATGTCAGCAGTCTCTGACCATCTCCTGTACTATGTCTGCAGTCTCTGGTCATCTCCTGTAGTAGGTCCGCAGTCTCTGGTCATCTCCTGTACTGTGTCTGCAGTCTCTGGTCATTTTCTGTGCTATGACTGCAGTCCATTGGTTCAGAATATTTTTTTCTTGTTTGCCACCTCTAAAACCTAGGTGCGTCTTATGGTCAGGTGCGTCTTATGGAGTGAAAAATACAGTATATATATATATATATATATATATATAAAATTACTTATACACTAACATAATTGATAACACAAAACTATTACCAAGTTTCCTGTAAATCATTAACTATTAAAAACCTACAATACAATATGGAACCATGGATGGACAGAAGCAGGTATTTCAGAAGTTGACTGTGGGGAAGCTGATGATGGTTTTTGTTTTACATATACAATAGATGGCACAAACTGCTACAGAATATTCAAATTCAGTTCAAAAGTAGGTCTCGAAAAGGTATTTGTCCAAATTGTCGTGAAGTCCAAAGCAAATCTTTAGAAAACTGCTTCCAAGCAGGGTTTGTAGGGCGATTGTGACCCTAAAGTCTTTATAGGTCAAGTGCTACTGCAAAAAAGGACAGGACATTAGGAAAGCTGAATTCTCCGAGCAGAACACACAAGACAAGTGATCTGTTTGGTGTTCTTTTTTGTCAGTTGTTATATCATAACATAATCAAATCTGAAGGAAACCAAAGCCCAGCAAGCCAGACAGAGATTTAGCCTCAAAACTGATTGCAGGTATGGAGATTTGTACAGGCAATTACAGTGTCCAAGAGGTTTTCTATCTCCAGAAATATGCTACTTCTTCAAGGCAAGAACCCCTAGAGAAAACCTTTGACAGAAATTCTGCAAAGGTGAATTCTGATCATTGAATTTGAATATGTCTTCCTTTGTATATGGCACTCTCCAGTCAGAGAGCTAATGAGACCATCTAACAGGTGGTAGTCTGTGATGAGCTGAAAATAACAGTTCCAAAGTATCAGAATCTTTGTACAGTAAGTCCAAAACTTTCAAAGATGTAAACGTGTTTTCATGTCCAGTCGTGTAAAGCTTCATTTTTTTAAACTTAAAAAACCTGAAAGATTGCCATACTAACACAAGCAATGTTGGTGTGGCGATCTCCAACACAATGCCTTTCTGTTCTGACAGGGAGACTCCCCCCACCAGAACACACTGATCACTCGCAGCCATTGTCTGCAAGTGCTGGTCTTTGTGGGACTTACGGACAAGTTGTAGTTACGAACAAGCTCCCAGAACGGAACTCGTTTGTAAGTAGGGGACTTACTTATAGCCTTTAAAATTGACAAATATGTGACCAGTTCAGGACTGCCCTGACCTTTTTAGGATCCATGTCTGTAAAAATAGTGTACTTCATTAAGGGTATCTTTGTGTTTTAGAAATGGCATTTTTCCAAATTGGCGTAAAGATTATATTATCAGCCACACTGTAGTGTATTTGTCACAGGAGTCAGATGAGTCTTCAGATCTGGGAAAAAAAACTAGGATGTCATCCAGGTGATGGTCTCCAAATATGTAAAGCACACCTTACTATTTTTTGGATTTTCTTTCCATGTGTAAACAAAAGTAAATTACTTGTTAACCATAGCAGTGGCCCTTCTATTAATGATTTTCTTTTATCGTGAATTCATTGTATATGTATTGTAAAGAAAGCTCGATGAACAAAATAAATTTCTTGAGGGTAAATGAAAAGGAGATTGTTTGAACATATGTAGTTTTATGCAAGCTTAGATAAAATATTAAAGGGTCAGGGACTGCCATGGTACAACAGCCGGACAGCAAGTGGTCAACATGGAGTGAATTATTCAGAAGGACAACAAGAATCTGATATTTATGTGATTCGTCAGTTAATATTTTAGTAATGCCACTGTCCAGGTGACTTGTCAATGAAGTTTCTAGAGATGCTTTTTTAGGTGATTTTCCCCAATAGGAAAAAGCAATACCCAGAAGACTCCCAGGTTTTATTTTGCCCATAGTTCCACTTTAAGGCTTTTGTGTGAAAATGTTAAGGTGTGGTGGCATCTAGAGTTCTGAAATACAATGTAACTGCAGAGGAGGGCAGGTTTGTCATAGAGCCTGCACCTCTCTACCATGGCATTAGCAGAGCTACATATGATGGACTAAGCTGTAGACACTACAACTAATTTATTGTTGCTAAAAGAGCTAATGGGTGTTGGATAGAGATATGTAGAAACACGAAGGCTAATGAACTACAAAAATTGTTTTAAATTACAGTATATTAATAAAAGATAAAGACAGTATGTTTTTTTTTCTTCTTATGTTGTGATGTGGGTAACTTAAAAGTCTGCTATATAGAATCCCCCTTTTTGTATCAAGTATAAAAAAATAGATGTGGTACGCTTCTGAGATTAGCCCATTCCCTTAGCTTTGAAGGCAAAAACTTAAATCTTTAACATTTTTCTGAGCTCTCTTCATAAAAGATTTGCCCATACCAGATAATATGGTGGAAAATGATAACCAAAGCAATTTATTAATTTTCATGTGTCCAACACAAGAAGAGGTGAAGTTACATCTAATTTAAAATGAGTATCTGGCGCAGATGGCATCCATCTCAATGAGCTAAAGGAATTAACTTCATTAATTGATAAGCTTCTATATCTAATTTCCTTAAACTATTTTTTAACTGGAACAGTTCCACAAAATGGCATATGGTTGATGTTGTATGATCTTTATTTAAAAGGGTAAAAAGCTAGAAAATAGAGATTTTAGACCAGTAAGCTTATAAGTAAGTTATTCTAAGGGATGATATAAGAAAGTAACTCATAGACAATAATTCAATAACAAGCAGTGTGGATATATGAAATATAGGTAGGGCCCAACATAATCAGCTTTATCCAATCTATCTAATGGGCCTATTTAGGTCTATCAGTGTTTTCACCCCAAAAATCACATAACTTTCACCTGAGATAAATTATGCATTTTCAAATCAAAGGTTAAAAATGTGGCTTGTGGCAGGTTGGTGGAATGCAAGTTGCCGCTACAACTGCGCCATCTTTTTTCTGGTGTTTCTGAGAAATTAAACCTTTCATTCATACCAGCATTTTATATTATGGTGACAATGCCTTCTGATATCACTGTGGTTGTTCCAACTGCTCTTTTTCATATGTACCAATGTGTTAAATGGAGCTGGGTAAAGCTTGGAAGGCTTGCAAGTTCTGTCGTATAAATACTAACATTGGACGCTGATTTGTAGCATGTGATCCTGGATCGGTGACAACCTGTCCACAGGGAGGGTGGCAATTGCAAAGATTCTGGCCTGATTACAATGTACTTTTATTAAAAGAGGGGGCGTGAACAGTGTGACTGTATGCATTTTGTGGCATAGGCACAATGCACGATATGTTAGATTTTCAGTTTTGCTTGCAGTTAAAAATTAATGATCAAGTGTTAAAACAACAGTAACAGTGCCATTTTTAAAACAATTTTTTTTTAAACTAATAATGAAATAGAATATAGCTAGGGAACACATAGAATACCATGGAAGGCTGGTTAATAATAAGCTTTGCAATGCCACACAGTGCCGAAAAAGCAGTCACAAAGCAAAATAAATCCGGGAAAGTATAAAAAGAAGATAAAAGCACAGCATGCCAGTATAGTATTGTACTTATGAACTTCTTGTAACATAACATCTGTAATACGGGTACACCACATTGTAAAAAAGTACATAAAGGTTTTGGACAATGTAAATAAAAGGAGTGTACATTTTCACTTACAATGAAAGGTTAGAAAATGTGCTATGTTCAGTTTGAAAAGGGAACAATTTAGAGACACATTTAATTAATATGTTTAAATATAACCAAGCTCAGTATTTTGATCATTAAAGCAGAACTTTACCCATAACGCTTTGACAACAATTAATGTTTAACAAAAGAACTTACATTCCACATTAATAATTATGCTACCAAAATTACTGTGTGCTGCAAATTGCTTGCAGCTTTGCTCCTGAACGAAAGATCATTCGATTTTCGTATAGTGTGTACACAACTTTCATCATCTGTTTCAGACTTTCTAAATGAAAATTTCTGAAGGGACAAATGCCAAAACTGTTTCACAAATGTAAACAGAACTAACAAATTTTGTTTAATGTGTACTGTTTATGTACATGAAAAATCGGATACAAAAGACTGTGCATGATTAGAAACAGTAAACAACAATAATCTACACTACAACGTTTCTATGTAAAAAAAACTAAACAAAAAGCCTTTGTCGTTTGAGCATTTTCGTACAATTAGTACCATCCTCGGGTTTGACTTACTATGAAACATCAAGGAAAATCGGATGCTCATTTGCCTGATTTTCTTTTAGTGTGTACCCAGCTTTGGAGAGGAAGGCTGCCAGAAATTTCCAATCCTGAAGTTCACAGGCTGCCAATGAGGAATTAAGGAGAGAATATCAGGAGATAAGACACTATCCTTGTAAACTTAGTTTGTGTCTTCCTGGCAGCAGAGTTTGTCCTGTAGCCTCTCCTGATTTTCTTTTCTCCCTCGAATCTATGTTCCCTCAGCACAGTCTGTGTCATTCCTGTTGCTTTCTTTCCCCTTCAGCAACAGTAACTCTTAAAGGTGTCATATGGTTGTGCTCTAGTGACTCTGATTTTAGGCACAGTGTTGAGAATAGAGAGCAACTATGCATGTGCAGAGGAGGGTTAAACAGTGCATTACTGAATTGAAACAGTATAGGCACTTATTTTTATTGCTTTACATAGCTATATCTGCAAAAAGGGCCAGCCTGCAATGATCTATCAGGAGTCATTTTTTCTGACTAAAGTTCCACTTGAACTTTATTCCTAAGAATGTACAAAGGACAAGTGGGCATCATTTGCGCATGGAAGAAAGAAGAGGTTGCCATCAGTTTGGGGGGGGGGGGGTGTGTTTTTATTTACAGTGCTTTCTCCCACGCACTGTTGCGCTACAGTAATGCAAAGTAAAATCAGTGTTTGACTACGTGTAACCACAATGAAGGCACCAAACAAAAAGCACTGCAACAAACTTTTACAGTAGCATGCAATTGTACATTGTGGTGTGCCACATTAAAAAAAAAAAGGGGTCTCATCTGATTTAGTGAGTTAGTAAGCTCTGCCAGCCTATTCAAAATGGTGCGTGATAATTCATTGCATTAATGATGTGAATGGGGCTTTAAGGGGGTTAGGGGAAAGCATTTCTCTTTTTTTTTAGCTTTAGTGTAGGGAGGGGTTAGTCCTG